TAAAAATGATGAATTTGAATCTAATGGATTATAACTACTAAATCCACACATTTTAAAATGATCTATAGCTTGTGTTTGTTTAGTATGTTCAATATGTGTTATGAGATAACCATTTGGATGTAATAAACGAAAAAATTCATTTAATAAATCAATACTTGTTGGTTCATCTGTTTTACTAATTAAATCAAATAGAATAATATCAAATGATGATGTTGCACGTCGAGCTGCTGTTTTTTTTAAATAGAAATAAATGCATTTTTTCTTAAAATGACTTCTATTAAACTTACATTCGATTAACATTTGTACATTTTCGAATGTAATATGTGCTTGTTGGGCTTTTGTTTGTATTATTTCTCGAAAAGGTAGTAAATTTTCTGGATCAACATCATCAACCCCAACAACAAGAATACTTTTAGCTTGAGCAAAAATTTCGTTCATTGGAATATTTTATTAAGAAAATAATCTAAAAATGAATTTAAAATTCTATCAATACATTGAATAGTTTGAAAAGCTCAGTGATTAATTTTAAAAAAGCTTAGTATTTAAGGGTGTAGATGTGGGTGTCGGTCTTCCCGACAGTATCACCCAATCGCACACTCACATCTGCACACACCATACCCACACTCCATCCTGAAGCGTAATTCCTATTTTATATTTTACCAACCTCAATTTGTAGACATATGATTCATTCATATACAGCAGTACGTGAAAGTGAGGATGGAATATACCTCAAAGGATACATTCGTAGATGATCTCGCTGATAAATGGTAATTGAATGTTGATATTCACATGTTGGATTTATTGAAATCTTACGCAAAGACGAAAATTATTTTCACTATCAAATAGCGAAACCCACGGCACATAGAAGTTCCTAAATAAAGAAAATTTATATGGATTATAGGGATTTTTTAAAGTGATTACTACTTGTTCTCTTTATTGCTGATTTTATTGTCTTTCAAGCAATTGTCGTAGGTCCGAATTGTAGTTAAATACTCGACGTTAAAGTTTTTCTTGTTTCAAGTCTTGTATCGACACCAGTTTTAGTTACTGTTCAGATTGATACAATATTTCATATAACCTATGATACTCGAACAAATACTAGTTGCCTATAAAAAGAAAAGAATCATCAGACAAAATTCGTAATATCAAAAATGTCCAAACAATCAATATGCTGATCAGTATAGTAAATGAATATAACATCAGATTATTCAGACAGGGATAACTATAAATAAATACATCATATCAGTATTAACCGAGTTTTGAAAATTGTTTAAAGAAAAAGAATCATATAAAACAAATACGATTTGCTCGTTTTGTTTATTTCAAACAGAAAAGAACGCATAAATTTAGTCCATATTAAAGAAAAAATGAAACACACAAAAACGCGTACAGTACGAAGAATGATGAAATCAAACGAGAAAGAACAACAAAAAAAAGAAAGAAGAAGAAGAAACAGCAAATGTGTGTATATTGTTAAACCCAAGAGAAAAAAAGAACAATAAAAAAAACAACACGAAGACAAAGCAGGTGAATGATAGCCAAAGAAAGAAAAATATGTTTATATTCGTTCAATTTTAATAATCAGCACCAATGCAATGTCTCCGGGTTTATTTCTTATTTAAACAATCTAGATACGGACAAAAGAAAGAAACAAAAAAAAACTGAACTAGATCATCTATTTACACTCATAGAGATGAAGAGAATAAGAAAGAACAGAAAAAAAACTGAATTTAAGAAAAACAAAAAAAAAAAAAAGAAAAAGACAAACCGATAATGTTCACTATGTTGATATTTTTGCTTATATATACACGCAGATTTTGTTTAAAGCGTCTGTACGCGTATGTATATAAAGGAAAAAAATATATATATATGTATAAATATAAGATGCTATTTTTCTATCAATTTGAACTGTCATTCATTAATAATTGAGCTGTTCGAGCTGACGCATTAGTTGTCGAACGTTTTGGATATGAACGAAGATATTCATCATCACTTAATTGATTTACATCTGGTCGATCACGAACATTATAAGTTAAACAACGTCTAATGAATGTCTTAAGAGAAAAACAAATATTTTTTTGTATTAAATTAAGAAAGTCAAGGTTTGTTTTTTTTTTTCGTACTTTTGCTCCATCGGATATGATTGGCTTAGGTGGAAATTCAACTTCTTTGGCTTTTAATATTGTTTGATTTTCTAAGATTGCTGCTTGAGATTGATTATGACCATAAGGTTTTCGTCCGTATAAACATTGAAAAAAAATACAACCTAAACTCCATACATCGACTTTTGAAGAGATTTTTGGAGGATTTGGTCCTTGAACAAATACTTCCGGAGGAAGATACCTACAAAAAAAAGTGAAACACAATGTAGCTACTGTTACTAATCAAAGAAAGATTGTTTTATTCTATCTAAATTTCTTCACCATTTTTTCATTTCATCTTCCAGAAATGCAATAAGGAAAATAACTCTTGAAAGAAGAATGATCTGACGCAGAGTTCTTGTGCTCAATCACTTGAGCTCACCATGAAGACAGACGTATGATCGCAACTTAGTCACCATGCTATCGCATAGCTGATTCGAGACAAACAGTCATTAGTAACTTATTCAACGTCACCTCGTGACTGGTGACACCGAGCTGTGAACACAGTACGGATCGGATACTTCCCGAACTATGCAACCACTCAGCCATGATGGTAAAGATCTACTCTATATATTTTAACACTCCTTTTAGAATGTTTTTCACAAAAAAAATGTTTATTTTCAAATGATTTTGTTCTTTACCAATATGTTCCAGCTCCTTGAGATGTTAAATCCATTCCATGTTCAGGATCATATGTATCTTCACACATTTGTTTACTTAAACCAAAATCTGTTATTTTAATTTCACCACTACTTGTACCAGTACCCAATAATATATTGGCAGGTTTTAAATCAAAATGGATCACAGGTGGTTTTATACCATTATTTAAATATCTTAAAGCGCTTACAGTTTGCATAACCACTGAACGTGCTTCTTTTTCAGGAATATATTTATGTTGTTTTAAAAAAAAGTCTATATCATTTCCTTCGATATATTCAAGAACAGTACAAAATCTAAAAGAGAAATAGAGAAACATAACAAAGAATTTTATATTTTATTTTTATTTTCTTACGAATCTGTATCGATTTCGAATACATCATAAAGACGAACAATGCGAGGATGATCAAGTGTTTTAAGAATATCACATTCACGTAATGCATGTCTAAAAATCAAATAAAAAATAAAAAATTTTTTCGAAAAATTGAATTTACTTTATATAATTTGCTTTCTTTTCTTCTTTCCATTCTTTATTAAGTTGATGAACTTTAACGGCAACATAACGTTGTTCTTTTAAACAGAATGCCTTTTAAAAATAAAAAGTTCATATATATATATATACATAGGTCTTTTGTTTGGTCCACGTGTTTAATTTCTCTTACTTTATGAACTTCACTAAAACCACCTTTACCAATGAGACTTAAAAGTAGATAACGATCATTGAGTACAGGATGGTCTTGGAATCTAAAATAATCATGCATTTATAAATTTTAACCCTTTACCCCCCCTTGGTCACTGGAATGACCATTTGTAGAACGATTGCAGAAAATAAAGGAAGCATAGAATTCAAAACCTCTAAGAGCACTATTTGTAGTAAACTTCATGAGCTATCGACTAGTAAAAAAAAAGATTTTTTTCGCTGTGCTAGTGCCGAGATATACAACTTATAAAATCGATGATTTTCAAAAAAAGTAAAAAATGGAATTTTCTTGGTAAAATTCTTTTTCTACCTCTAGGCAATATATATCTTGGCGACGTGTTGCGTGATTTACATCAAAGAAAGTATCCACTAGTAGATTATATAAGTTTCAAAAATTTGAAAAGCATTAGGTAGGCAAGATGTGGTAAAGCATCGAATGGTCACTGAAGGACTTCCAGAAAATCAACCCTTAGCTTTTGGCCTTCTACAATCCGAAAATAAAGTTTTGTTTAAACTACGTAAAATTATAGAGTGAACAATTCTCTACAAAATAAGACGTCCACGAGCTCTCTACGACGTTTCTTGGCCGAACTCCGTCGGTATTATGGAAAGTTCACGAAATTTTTTCCAAATCGATCCCCCTACTCCCCCTCAACAAACTACCCTAAAACTCAAGTGTGCGTTTGATCGATCTGACCGTAATTTTAGCATATTGGAGGCACCAATACTCTATTCCAATGGTTGTTTCATCAATAGCTCTTCTGGAACCTCTATGGGGGGTAAAGGGTTAAAAGAGAAAATATGCAACGGTGACTTTAATAATCAATGTGATTTTGGCAGATCAACAGTATTTAACATACGTAGAAATATTTCGTGGTAATCATACGCATAATCTTTACTAATTTCCTTGCGAATCCAACTCTCAGGAGTTCCATCCTCATCATCAGATAGAAGAATAAACGTGGGAAAACAGCCGGCTTGATGTAGAATATGATAATCTTCTTCAATATCAAAATGTTCATGAGATGCAGCTATTCGAATGAGCATATCGTATAATTGTTGTTTGTCTCGTTGAGCAGTTTTTAAAAGATCAATTCGTCGTTTTTGTCCGATCGCATCAGATCGCGGAATCGGTGGAACAATTTCAACACTCATATCAGTATACAATGATGCACGACAATTTGGATCGCAAGCAAGTAAATTGTAGAGTAATGTAGTGCCTGTACGTGTAAGATCGCAAACTACCAACGGACCAATAGCAGGCAAATTTTGACTAAAAACTTCATTGTGTTCGACTGCATAATTTAAAACAAGCTTACAATTGGTGTGCAGAGTTTGAAGTTCAGATAGAAAAAAATCTCGACCAGCAGGTGTTATGTATTCATTACGGAGTATACTTTGACAATATGACTCGAACGTATGAAGTAGAGTCTGTTGGGGTAATTCTGATCAAAAATTAAAAATTTCATTTTATTTTTTTTCGTTCT